GTTAATTTTGGTAGGTTTGTTAATGGTATCATGGTTTAGTAGAAAAATATCCTAATATTTTTGGAAATGTATACTGAAGTATTTAGGAGTAAAATGTCTTCATGTCTGTAATCAACTTTAAAATACTTCAGCAAAAACAAAAAAAGATGAAGGAAATATAGCAACAGTATTAACAATTTGTAAACCTACATGGTGGGTATTATTATGACTGTCCATTATACTAATTTCTATACCTTTCTCTGTGTTTGAAATTTTTCTTAATAAAAAGACTAAAATGATGGAGGAAAAAAAGAGAGAGATTGAATATACTAGAAGAAAAGGGATAATCAGAAATGTAAGATTACTGAAAAGGTGGAGATAGATAGGATTTAAGTCTTAGGTAGAGGAATTGGCCCAAATGATAGAAAAGTTAGCTCTCTATTATAATAGAAGGGAAGGAGGATAAGATGATGAGTCAGTTATGTTTGTATAGTTCTGTATATCTAGTCCAGGAAAATTGAAAGAGTTCATGTCTGATGACTTGTACTTTCTCTGTGATACAGAAGGCAAGGTCATCTGCTGCGAGAGGGATTGTGAAAGGGTCAAAAGGTTGAAAAGAGTTCAAAGGAATTGAAATAGTTCATAGTAAGAATGGAAGTGATGACTAAAAAGCTGCATATAGGGTTGCCAGGTAGTTTTGAGGGCCTAGTTGAAATTGGTGGTATGAATTTCTAGTAGAACTAATGATAGCAAACCTTTTAATCTCAAATTCATGTGCCCATGTGCAGTAAGCCAATCATGGAGACATGTTAGGTGCTTGGAGATGGAGAAAGGTTTATTCAAATTGGCCAAAATGAGAAGACAGAGGATAGGTTCTCTCAAATCTGCCTTCACAAAAGAAGGAAGCAGGGGGTTTTATAGAGCTAATGGGCTTAGGGGGAGGAATTTTGGAGAAACAAAGGGGAAATTGTGTTTCTTTCATGCCAGGTAAGCCCTTGGGCCGTTAGACTTCTGGGCATCAACTGCAGCTGGAATTTGCTTGTCTGGTGATCTAACTTCTTTGAAGGCATTCTTTTACTTGTGCAAAACAAGCTCATAAATCCTTGTGACCCTTGAGTCACTCCTCAGGTTAAACAAGAAAACAACAAATTAACAAGACTAACTTCTTTTCATGTGTATCTCTGTTGGGAAAAGGTTGAAGGGTGAGCAGGTACTTACTGAATATTTACAGTAACCCTCAGGTACCGGCTTCACTAATACACCCTGTTGTTTGACTTTTTCCATCAATGTTTGGTTGCTTGAGTGCTGGCCGAAAGAAAGTAGGTAGTTGGCTTCATCCAAGGTTGTGATTTTTGTCCGTCACATGTGACAAAATAGAAGGGTAGGGAAACTAGGGTGCTGGCAAAATTGTTGTTGAAGTGCTGGACCTGGAATCTAATCTGTATAAGAAGGGAAGTACACCTTGCAACTTATTCAAGTTCTGGACATCTAATGCACAGAATAGTGATTATAGTCAACCACGCTGTATTATATACTTCAGAGTTGTGAAGAGACTGGATCTTAAATGCTCTCTCCACAAAAAAGAAATGGTAATTGTGTGATGTGTTTGAGGTGTTAGCTGACTCCTCCCTCAGTGGTAATCATATTGCAATGTATAAATATGTCAAATCAATACATTGTACAAACTTAACTTACATGATAACTTATACAATATTATCTCAATTAAAAAAAAGGAAGTGCCACAAACTCAGTATATTCCACACTGGACTCCTCATCTTATGAACCTTTTCCTTGTCAATGACTGTGAAGAGTCTAGGATTTTACCTACTTACAAGCCAATGAATTAGTCTGTTACCGTTTCATGGATGCTGGCAGAAAACATGAGACTCCTTGGTCAGAGACCAAGTACTTTATTACTTCCAGCACAGCCAGCAAGTAGCATGGCCTTATGTTAGTTTGTGTTGATTCCTCATGCTCCTCACTTCCCATGGGGGTGATTCAGGTGGGTCTGGATGGATGCTGCACATGCACTGAGTTTGTGTCACAGCCCAGAAACACTGAGCTTGGGGAACTTAGCATTTTTATAGTAAGTGGAAGCCATTCTGCTCTTTGTCTTGGAGGGGAGACATTGTCTTATCCCTCAAGGTTGCTTACTCCAAATACAGCCCTGAAAAATGGCTCAGGTAAAAGTGACTAGGGCCTTGTATTCTAGGCACACTCAACAAAAATGTGCAGGAACGCTCAGGGCCCATGGCTTCTCCCAACAGTTCGCCATCCACAGAGTGGTGGTAATGAGGGAACTGCTTTCTCTTTGCTTGCCATTTTTACTCATAGTACCTCCATCCTTTTGGGCAACCGGGCTGGAAAATCTCCTTCATTTGCTATAGATCATAGTCTCTCCTGAGGAACTCTTGCTAGAAAGCTCTTCTTTAGTGGGTCACTTGTATGTGGGTGGCTTTGGGGGTGGAAAGACAAAAGAGGGGAGGCAAGAGGTGGTTTTGAATGCCTTAAAATTTCTGAGGCCCTTTAGGGCACCTTGATGCTGCCTTTTAGTACATTAACAGCTCAATAGGAAAGTCTTAGACCAGTTCCTGCTTGCCTAGGATTTTTTAGAACCCTGAAAATGAAGAGGCATCAAAATCAATCAGAGTTTCTAGGATTTGGGGGCAAGGATATCTTGGGTATGGTCCAGCAAGGGCAAACATCCATGCCAGTCTTCCTCTACTTTGTATGTGGGATGCCTCCACAGCGTGGCTGATGAGTGGAGTAGATCCACACCCGGGATCTGAACCCGCAAACCCCAAGCTGCTGAAGCGGAGCATGCAGAATTTTAAGCACTCAGCCATGGGACTGGACCCTCAATGGATTTATTTTTTAACTTGACAAAATAAATTTTAAGTTAATCCTGAAAGAATAAACAGATATTTGTACTATAGTTGAAGTGAATGAAGGATAGATTCCAGAAACAAATTCTCTCTTCTGGGAATTTGGAGTTGAGATAGTCATCTTGAGCTCTAATCTTGACCTGAGGAGAAATAAACTGAGTCTTGTGCTTAGAGAAGCAGAGAACATTGTTCTGTAGAAAGAGGAAAAACAAAGATATGAAGAGAAGAACAGGACAGGTAGAGAAAGAATCCTACCAGTTTTCAGCCTCTGGTCTCTTCCTGAGGTGGTAATATTCCTGCCTTTTGGTTCTGTGATCCATCCTAAATCCTTAGAACAAATTTTCCTTTATTTCTTAAGCTATTTCAGGTTAGTTTATTTACTGGAGAAGAAAAGTATCTTAGGTGCTAGGTAGGAATATAGCAAAGAATAAAGCAAACAACATTCCTGCCTTAAGGAGCTTACATGCTACTAGGAGGAAACAGACAACAAATAAGCAAATACACGCTAGATAGTGTTGAGTCTGATAGGGACCTGACAGAGACACAGGGTAAGGGGGCCTAGGTGGGTGCATATGTGCTATCAGCAAAGGTGCCTCTGAGGAGGTACCTTTTGAGCAGAAGTAAGGGAACAAGCAATAAAAATATCAAGGGTAAGAGTGTTTCAGGAAGAGGAAAGAGCAAATGTAAAGACACGGGGCCGGGGGTGGGTAGGGGATCAGAATTGGCCACCCCAAAATGTGTCTCTTTGGCATGAGGATTATTTTGTACTGGTTACTTTTAAAAACTGCAGACTTGGGAGAAGCTCTGAAAAGTAGAAGTTACCCTTAGTAAGAGACATTCACATTCGTAAGGGAAATCTCCATCTATAAAGGTGTCTCCCTCTCTGTACCAGGAAGAAGGGGGGATGACCTTATCTCTAGAAAGTCTTATCAGTGTGGAAGGCAAGGACTTAAATCTGCATAATAACCTGACTCTTGTTTACTGTACTTTTCTGGTAATCTCCCATAACTGACTCTACCCACCCCCAACATCCTCCTTTGTCGTTAGCTGAAGATGATATTTAAGATGAGAACCTCTGCCATTTTGGCAAGTTGCTCAGGTTTCCTGAGTGTCTCCCATGTATACATGTTATAAAGCTTTGTTTGATTTTCTCCTGTTATTCTGTCTCATGTGAATTTAATTCGTAGCCCAGCGAGAAGGACCCAGAGGGTAGAGGATTTGTCTTCCTCCCCTACAACACTGAGGCTGGAGTCTACTTACTGTGTTCAAGGAACATTAAGAAAGCTTTTGAGTGGTTGGAGCAGAGAGAGTGAGAGAGAGTGATGGATGAGGAGGTCGCGGGGGTGGGTGGGGAGTGGGTTGTATAAGAGATTGTGTAGGGCCCTTTAGGTCAAGATAAAGAGTTTGGCTTTCCTCTGAGTGGGCTGGAAAACCATTGTAGGATTTAAAGCAGAAGAGCAACTTGTGTTTTAAAAGGATCACTAGCTCCTCTATTTAGAATAGACTGGAGAGTGGTCAAGGGCAGTAGAAAGGAGACTAGGTGAGAGATGACGGTGGCTTGGACCAAGGGAGTCAAAGTAGACATAATCAGAGTTGGTCAAATCCTGGATCTTTTTTTGAAGGAATAACTGACATGCTTTGCTGATGGATTGGATGTAGGGTGTGAAAGAAATGGAGAAGTTAAGGATGACTAGGTTTTTGGCTTAAACAATTGGAAGAATGGAATTGCCATTTACTGAGATGGGGAAGACCTGGGGCTGGGCTGGAGCTCAATTTTGAAGTATTGTTTGAGGTGCCTATTAGACATCTAAGTGGGGATGTCTATTGGTGCCCTCTGAACTGTTGTATTTCTCACCGGACCCCATTCTAGTACTAATTCTCTATAGTTTAGTCTTGAATACGACAACTCGAGATTTCTCTTCCATCCTCTGATCATATTCCTCCATAAAATCCTTCAGCAAATAATCTAGATCTATATTTACTAAGAAATTTTAAGTTCTAGTAATAATTGACTATTTCATTTGAGTTTCAGAAGGACCAGAAAGAAGTTGTATGTCAGTATTTTTAAAGTAGATTAATGATTAATATATAAATGGAGAACTGAATCTTTCTCTCTCTCTCTCTATTTTTTAATAGTTGCTTTCATTTGTTAACTTCTGCGATAAACAAATTTAAAAGATGAGTGAACTGGAACAGTTGAGGCAGGAAGCCGAACAACTGCGGAATCAGATCCAGGTGAGAGCAAACTTTTTCATTTTGAAATTTGAACACTTTTATGTAGTACTAGCAATGAACAAAATTTGTTCACTAGTTTGTCAGTCTACATACAGTAAATAATTTATAAGGTTAGAAATGGGTCAGTTTGTTTTTTATCATGCCTCTAAAGAACTCTCCAAAAATCATTGCTAATAAATACCTGTGTGGACTAATGACCTCTGTGTCCCTAAGAAGTTAATATATGTAATCCCTGCTAAAAGACAAACATAATTCTCTTCTTATTCACACGCCTGGATCGTAGTTTGATTTTTGGTGCAATATGATGAGGCAGATAGTATCACTTTGTGATATCCTAGAAAAATATTAATGTTGAAAACATTAGACCGTAGAAAAACATTAAAAATTATTAGTGGCATAATGACGACATCTGTCATCTTTTACTCTTGGAAATCAGCTCAAAACAGTAAAGAGCATAAGAAATAAGTACAAGCTCCGTCTTTAACAAAGGTGAAAGACACTTAGAACGTCAAACCATTGTAGGGTGGGGAAGAGCTGTCAACTGGAGCGATGCAGCAGGGTGTGGGAAGGCTTGAGAGAGGGTTTCTGCAGCTTTAAGTCTCAAACAGAGTAGGTCACACTCCCTCAGGGACAACAGCAAGAATGCTTTCTTTGGAACAGTGAAAACGATGCTTCCTTGGATTGAAGAACATCCCAAGGAAGGCAGAGATGCAAATGAAAGGATATAGACATAGCATCTTTTAGGAAGCCTCTTGGTGAGCAGCTTGAAGGAAGGAGACTGAGTTTCGTGTGCCTGGCACTGCCTGCTTCATTTCGCAGGGAAAAGTAAGGACTAAAACAACTTATATAAATGAAGAACTTCAGCACGAAGCAGGGAGAATCCCTAATAACTTGGAACACTGCTCTGGCCCTCCCCAGTATGAACCTCTTGCAGTAGCTTTTTCGGAAGAACTCATCTAATTTAAAAGTGAAGAATGAGAAAAAAGGAACAAGCATAGGATCTACACAAGGATATTGCAAGAAAAGAGAGGAGAGGAGCAGGAAAAACGAGGTGAAGAAAATTCCCCAGAAAAATGTTGATTCTGGGCGGATTGAAATCATAACCAGTCTTATGGCCAGAAATTCAAGGAAGTTAATGATTTAGATGTGAATAAGAACTGTCAGTTGATACCTTAGGTGTCTGAACAAAGCTGTCAAAACAAAGGAAGGATTTATTTTGCCTGGGATCATCAGAGAAGGCTTCATAGCTAATCTCTGAGTTAGAGGTCACTGCCACCACCAGAATGGCTTCTCCACCATCTCTACTTTGTGTCACTTGTTCCAGATGCTGAGCAGGACTGACTGATTGGCCAAGCACGTGGTCACATGCCCATTTCATTTTTCTTTGTTTGTTTGATTTGTTCTGTATATCTGTGAGCTTGCTGTTTCTTTGTAGATTCCACACATAAGTGAGATCATATGGTATTTGGCTTTCTCTGTCTGACTTATTTCACTTAGCACAGTGTCCTCAAGGTCCATCCATGTTTTTGCAAAATGGCAAGATTTCATTCTTACTTACAGCTGAATAATATTTCAATGTATATATATGTGTATACCACATTTTCTTTGTCCATTCATCTGTTAATGGGCACTTAGATTATTTCCATATCTTGACTATTGTAAATAATGCTCCATGAATATGAGGGTGCTGATGTCTTTTCAAGTTAGCATTTTTGTTTTTTTCACATAAATATCCAGAAGTGGAATTGCTAGATCACATAGTAGTTCTATTTTTAATTTTTTGAGGAAGCTCTGTAATGTTCTCCGTAGTGGCTGCACCAATTTCATTCCTCCCAACAGTGCACAAGGGTTCTCTTTCTCCATATCCTCCCAACACTTATCTCTCTTCTTTTTGATAACAGCCATTCTAACAGGGGTGAGGTGATATCTCAGTGTGGTTTTGATTTGCATTTCTCTGATGATTAGTGATGTTGAGCATCTTTTCGTGTACCTGTTGTCTATCTCTGTGTGTTTGGAAAAATGTCTATTCGGATCCTCTGCCCGTTTTTTAATTGAATTGTTTGTTTTTCTGCTTTTGAGTTGTATGAGTTCTTTATATATTTTTGACATTAACCCTTTATCAAATATGTGATTTGCAAATATTCTGTCCCATTCAGCAGGTTGCCTTCTCATTTTGTTGATGTTTTCCTTTGCTGTACAGAAGCTTTTTAGTTTGATGTAGTTCCCACTTATTTATTTTTGCTTTTCTTGTCTTTGCTTTTGGTGTCAAATCCAAAATACCATCACCAAGACCAATATCAAGGAGCTTACCACCTATATTTTCTTGCAGGAATTTTATGGTTTCAGGTCTTATATTCAAGTCCCTAATGCATTTTGAGTTAATTTTTGTGTATGGTGTTAAGATAGTGGTCCAGTTTCATTCTTTTGCTTGTGGCTGTCCAGTTTTCCCAACACTGTTAGTTGAAGATACTGTCCTTTCCCCATTATGTATTCTTGGCTTCTTTGTTGTAGGTTAATTGACCATATGTGCATGGGTTTATTTCTTGGCTCTCTGTTCTGTTCCATTGATCTATGTGTCTGTTTTTATGCCAATGCCATACTGTTTTGAATACTATAGCTTTGTAATATAGTTTGAAATCAGAGAGCATGATGCCTCCAGCTTTCTTCTTCTCTCAAGGTTGCCTTGACTATTTAGGGTCTTTTGTGATTCCTTAGAAATTTTAGGATTTCTCTATTTCTGTGAAAAATGCCATTGGAATTTTGATAGCGATTGCATTGAATCTGTAGATTGCTTTGAGCACTATGGATATTTAGACAATAGTAAGTCTTCCAAACCATGAACATGGAATATCTTTCCATTTATTTGTGTCATCTTCAATTTCTTTCATCAATGTCATATAGTTTTCAGCATACAGGTCTTTCACCTACTTGGTTAAATTTTTTCCTAGGTGTTTTATTCTTTTTGATGGAATTGTAAATGGGATTGTTTTCTTAATTTCTCTTTCTCATAGTTCTTTATTAGTATATAGAAACACAACAGATTTCTATATGTTGATTTTGTATCCTGGAACTTTACTGAATTCATTTATTAGTTCTAACAGTGGAGTCTTTGGGGTTTTCTATATATATAATATCATGTCCTCTGCAAATAGTGATAGTTTTATTCCTTCCTTTCTAATTTAGATGCCTTTTATTTATTTATTTATTTTTTGAGGAAGATTAGCCCTGAGCTAACATCTGCTGCCAATCCTCCTCTTTTTGCTGAGGAAGACTGGCTCTGAGCTAACATCCGTGCCAATCTTCCTCTACTTTATATGTGGGACGCCTGCCACAGCATGGCTTGCCAAGCAGTGCCATGTCTGCACCCAGGATCCGAACCAGTGAACCCCAGGCTGCCAAAACGGAATGTGCAAACTTAAGCGCTGTGCCACCAGGCCGGCCCCTAGATGTCTTTTATTTATTTTTCTTGCCTAATTGCTCTGGCTAGGGCTTCCAATACTATGTTGAATCAAAATGGTGAGAGTGGGCATCCTTGTCTTGTTCTTGATCTTGGAGGAAAAGCTTTCAACTTTTCACCATTGAGTGTGATGTTAGCTGTGGGCTTGTAACGTGTGGCCTTTATTATGATGAGGTACGTTCCTCATATACCCACTTTGTTGAGAGTTTTTATCATAAATGGATGTTGAATTTTGTCAGATCCTTTTTCTGCATTTGTCAAGATGATCATATGATTTTTATCTTCATTTTTTTAAAAAGATCGGCCCTGAGCTAACATCTGTCGCCAATCTGTTTTTTTCTTCTTCTTCTCCCCAAAGCCCCCCAGTACATAGTTGTATATTCTAGCTGTAGGTCCTTCTAGTTCTGCTTTGTGGGACGCCGCCTCAGCATGGCTAGAGGAGTGGTGCTAGGTCTGTGCCCAGGATCTGAACCAGCAAAACCCTGGGCAACAAAGCAGAGCACATGAACTTAATCACTCAGCCACAGGGCCGGCCTCTGTCTTTCATTTTACTAATGTGGTGTGTCATCTTGATTGATTTGCAAATGTTCAACCATCCTTGCATTCCATGGAATAAATCCTACTTGATCAGGGTATATGATCCTTTTAATGTGTTGTTGAATTTGGCTTGCTGACATTTTGTTGAGGATTTTTCCATCTATGTTCATCAGGGATATTGCCCTGTAATTTTCTTTCTTTGCAGTGTCCTTGTCTGGAATGGTTGACCAAGCACACGGTCACATGCCCATCTCATTTAATCCTCATTGCAACCCTGTGAAGTAGATGGTGTTACTTATTTTATAGTTCAGGAACCTGAGCCTCAGTGAGAGTAATAACTTGCCAAGCTAACATAAGTACTAAGTGGTAGACCCAGGAGTCAGACTAGGCATATTTTGTGTGTAGAGCCTGTGCTCTAGCACCACTGCGGCAACCGCCTCCCAGCTGTGTTTGCTGACATCCTGCTCTGCAGCCTGTGAGTCTGAGTCTGGTTGCCATTCCCTGAACGTTCGTTGCTCTTTCCTACTTCATTGCCTTTTTTCAGATTGTTTCCCTTGCCTGGAGTTAGACTGCCTCTGTTCCAATTTTGTTCCTGGGACTCCTGTTCACTGAGACCCAGTCCTCTGAAAAGCCTCACCAGAGTCCTCCACTTGGATTTATTCTCTTTCTTTTATTGGAAGGCAGAGTGGCATGGTGGAAGGTGCATGGACTCCACCTTTTAATTGTTTTGTGGCCATGGGCAAGTTTTTAAATTTTTTTGATGCTCAATATCTTTGCTCTAAAGTGAGAATACCAGTGTCTACTATATAGATTTGTGGAGAGGATTAACTGAAATGAGGTGTAAAAGAATTAGCCCAACCCAGTAAGTGGCAGTTCCTTACTCATAACAGACTTTGGACTTGTGTTACAGGGTGACCACAGCCTGTATGTGCACATTTGCCTCTGTTCTTGTACTTGGATGGAAAATTCTATGTCTTAATCATCTTCATATCTCACCAGCATCCCAAGCACGATGTCATGGGCCCAGGTGCTCACTGAATCATCTCCCATGGTTTCAAGTTACCACATGTGTGTAAAATACCATGGATTTTTTTTTCTCGGTGTAATCATGTCATGCTATATTTAAAGACCCTCCCTACTTCTTTCCTTTCCTTCTCTCTCATTTCCAGAAACATAATCTAGCTATATATTTACCTAACTGTGGTATAAACATGTGACATAATAGAAATATGTGCTATTTGGTGCAATATATGGTTTATTTTGAATTCAAAAAACAGAAATAGCGAAAACATAGATTTTTTGTAATTGTTACTTGTTGGATTTGGACTGAGAAATGTCATTTTTCTTTTTCACAAAGATGTTACTATCAGATCTTGTATTTCTTGTGGTGGACAATATGGAATTCAGCCTTTAATTGGGACTCATTCATTTATCTTCAGTTTTATAATAGATAACAGTATTCATAAGAGTAAGAAGTTCTCAATGTGAATAGAATCATTGCATGTTGTAAATTTGTCAGTAACTGCTGCTAAGATATTTGTGGAATTCTTATATTCCAACATGTTTTAATTTTTACTACTGATTTGCACAATAGTTCATTAATTTCCACTTGTATTTAAAAATTATATTATTAATATTAAAGTAAGCCCTATGAGGGCAGGAATTTTTTGTTGGTCCACTGCTATATCCATGGTGCCTAGAATAGTGCCCGACACATAGTGTTCATCAGATGTTTTATCAAATGACTGAATCAAGAAAGATGACCTAAACAATGGTATTTCATTTTCATAAAGCTTAAAATCGGAGAATCTTTTTTTAGAATTTAGTCTTCAACGCCACCATTTTTGGAACACAGCTCAGGCCATCACTGTCATTTCTGGAGATTCTTTTCATTGTAGGAAACTGGGCTAAATTATTCCTTGCCAAATGAGGTTTCTAAACCCACAATTTGACTAAGAATGAGAGGATCAAATCATATGTTTGTGCAACTACTTATGAACACCCTTACACAAAAATATTCTGTTTATAAATAGGTTGAAAGGGCAGCCAAAAAGATCCTGTATTCCATCCAGTCTTTGCTGCAGGCAGAGGCGCGCATTTCTCCCTGGCTGACCGGAACAGGTTGTCCATTTGTGACATTTGTCTGACAAATATTGTGTGCCTCCTCTTTGCACAGGAGTATGCTAAGTGCAGTAGGGAGAAAACAAAGCTGAAGAGGAGACCACCCTAACCTTTGAGGGGACAAAAAGCTATTTTAAGTCTAGTAGGAAGAATTCTTTGCTATTCTGATTTTCCCATATGTATGAGTCCTCTAAATTTGTTAACTTGGTTTTAAACATTTTGTTGCTTATTAAATATGTTCTCTGCTTACCTTTAATTATTTTGTTATATTCATTTCTGTTTCACTAGCTTCCTTTTGATAGTCAGTTTGTATAAAAATTTGAGGTCTCTTTGAAAGGTTTCTCTATAATGCTTAGGCATAAACGCCTGCTTTCATGAGGGGAATTTGCTGTCAATATAAAAATATGGATGCCACTCAGTATAAATTGTTACCTGTTAGATAAAACTTTATTTTCCTGAGATAGCATATCTTTTTCTCATATTGGATCAAAAATATTTTATTTATAATAGTGTCTGTATACAGTGTATTTGCAAAGCATTTGAAGGAGTCTTATGCGTTTTTTAAATGTTTCTGAGATGACTGAAGTATACTGAAAATGTTCTTTTCCCCTCAACTTCTGGATGCCAGAACAAACAGAAGGGAACTCAGAACTCTTGCTTTCTTCTGAAGCTTAGTAACAAATATAACTGAATACTATGGGCTTATTACATCAACCTAGTTCATTTTTACTCAGGGGATACAGTTTTTTAAAAAGAACTTTAAATCATAAACCAAAGGTATATTCGTATAATGGAATAGAATTGAGAGTTCATAAATAAAGCCGTATATCTGTGGTCACCTGATTTTCAACAAGGGTAGCAAGACCACTCAATGGACAAAGAACAGTCTTTTCAACAAATGATGCTGGAACAACTGGATATCCACATGCAGAAGAATGAGTTTGGACTCCTGCCTCACACCATATACAAAAATTAACTCAAAATGGGGCAGCTTCAAGTATAAAATTCTTAGAAGTAAACATAGTTGTTAATCTTTGTGGCCTTGGATTAGGCAGCAGTTAAATTATGACACTAAAACATAAGCAACAAAAGAAAAAAAGAATTGGATTTCATCAAAATTAAAAACTTACATGTCAAATGATGCCATAAAGAAAATGGAAAGGTAATCTACAGAATGAGAGAAAATATTTGCAAATCACGCATCTGATAAGGGTCTAGTATCCAAAATATAATTAAAAAAACTTGTACAACTCAACAATGAGAAAGAATCCAATTTAAAAATTGGAGAAGGATTTGAATAAACATTTCTCCGAAGAAGATATACAAATGGCCAAAAAGTACATGAAAAGTTCAATATCACTAATCACTAGGGCAATGCAGATCAAAACCACTGTGAGATACCTCTTTTCACCCACTAAGATGGCTATAATAATTAAAAACAAAAAAATGAAAATAGCAGTGTTGGTGAGGATGTGGAGAAATTGGAAAGCTCATACATTGCTGGTGGGAATGTAAAATGGTGTGGCTGCTGTGAAAAACAATTTGACAGCTTTTTAAAAAGTTAAACATAGAGTTACTACATCACCTACCAATTCCACTCCTAGGTATATACCCCGGAGAATTGAAAACACGTGTACACAAAAACTTGTATGTGAATATTCACAGCATCATGATTCATAAAGGCCAAAATGTGGAAATAAATGTCCATCAATTGATGAATGAATAAACAAAATGGGGTATATTCATTCAATGAAATATTGGCCATAAAAAAAGATGAAATACTGGTACATGCCACAACATGGATGAACCTCGAAAACATTGTGCTAAGTGAAAGAAGCCAGACACAAAGGTCGTATATTTTATGATCCTGTTTATATGAACTGTCCAGAATAGGCAAATTCATAGAAATAGAAAGTAAATTAGTGATTGCCAGGGAACAGAAGAAGAGGCATTTGGAAGGTATGGGGTTTCTTTTTTGGGGGCGTTGCAAATGTTCTAGAATTAGATAGTGGTGATGATTGCACAACATTGTGAATATGCTAATCACTGAATTATGCACATTAAAATGATTAAAATGGTTAATTTTATGTTATGTGAATCTTATCTCACAAATTTTTTAAAATAAAAGAGTTTGTTGGGGGCTGGCCCAGTCGCGTTGTGGTTAAGTTCGCACACTCTGCTTCAGTGGCCTGAGGTTCACAGGTTTGAATCCTGGGCGCGGACCTGCTACTGCTCAAACCACACTGTGGTGGCATCCCACATAAAATAAAGGAAGATTGGCACGGATGTTAGCTCAGAGACAATCTTCCTCAAGCAAAAGGAGGAAGATTGGCAACAGATGTTAGCTTAGGGCCAATCTTCACACACACAAAATAAATAAAAGAGTATGTGGTACAGTGAAAAGTATATTTGCAAATCTACATTTTCAATACAAATATTATATTTGATCATATCTAGAGGTTTCCATGTCTAATTGTATTATAATCATCTTTCTTTACTTCAGGATGCCAGGAAAGCATGTAATGATGCAACGCTTATTCAGGTAAATTTCTTTTTTCTTTAATTCATTTTAGTAATTCATGTGAAACAGCTTGAAACTGGTTCAGATTCTTTTTATTAGTATTCAGTTGAAAAAAGGCCTCTATTTAAAAACACTTTGTAATTTGATGCTCTACAACTGCTTTTTAAAGCATACTTGTTAAAATAGAAGTCTGGAAAAATAAACACTGTAAAAATATGTAGATTCATACAGTATATGTTTCTTTTTGGGTAGCTTCTGATTCTTTTTGATATGTCCTGATTAAGCTTTTATTTTTCTGATATAAACTCTTATGAAGGTTTCATTAGTTTAATATTAGTCATTTCTATTAAGGAAATATGTGCTGTACAAATATAAAACTGGCTTTCTTATAACACAGTTAAAATTACAAATGTTTTACCCTTTCATCATCTACTATTAGATTTTAATTAGTGGCTAGGTTTTTGCTAAAGTTGAGAGGTGTGTCTGTTCTTTTTAGTTCCTGGTCTACAGAAGATATTCTCACTGGAAGGGATCCAAATAGGATCATTTAAAATTAATCATACTTTTTCTTGAACAATATATTGATCCTATAATAACTCTGTGGAATTATTTATATTACTTTCAGTCATTATAAATTTGTTTTACACCTGCTTTTTTGCCTATTGTTGCTAACTTACATTATTTTCTGAGCTATGCACGAGGTAAAGAGTAACATTCCTGTTGCTTTCTAAAGATCACATCAAATATGGATTCCGTGGGTCGAATACAAATGCGAACGAGACGTACGCTGAGGGGTCACCTAGCCAAAATCTACGCTATGCACTGGGGATATGATTCAAGGTTTGTACCTGCCATTTTCAAACTATCAGCAGAATTATTTTCATTAAGAATCATCATTTGTGTTTTCTCTTTATAAAAAGAAACTGTATTTATGAAGTGTTTGCAGAAAATGCATTCAATTTGAACACTTTGCTTTCACTAAAAATCTCCATTGCCACTTTAAAAGTTTAAAAACCTTTAATATGGGAAATAAATTTACCTCTCAAAAATACCCTTTATCAAAGTGATCCAGGAAAACTGTTTAGAATTTTTTTTCTTTGCAGTGGGGTATTATGCTTTTTTTTTAAATTGCCAAAAACAGTTTAATTGGATATTAACCTTGAAATTTCAGTTAATAAGCAAATATTTGTTAAATATTGCTGTGTACAAGATACTGGATAGTGCTATAATTGTGATCTAAATTCACAAAGGATGGAATTACATAAAACAAAGACATTTTCATTGAATACATCTTTTATTCCCCTAACCCAACATTATTAAGTGTGTGTAGGCATGAGTACACACACACACACACACACACACACACACACACACACACGGCTGCCATGTGGCTTGCAGTTGCATGGTTGGTCATCACGATTTACTTTGTTCATAGGGTACGGTACCATCTGGTGCTTCTCCCAGAGTATCTGGCAATAGTGGGTCAGCCTGCTGTCATAGTGATTGACTTGTTCCTTTGATTTGGTTAATCTTATTAGCAACAATCCCAACTAAGAAATTATTTCTTTTTTTTCCTGCTTTTTTTCTCCCCAAATTCCCCCAGTACATAGTTGTATATTTTAGTTGTGGGTCTGTCAAGTTGTGGCATGTGGGACTCTGCCTTAGCGTGGCCTAGTGAGTAGTGCCACGTCTGCACCCGGGATCTGAACCCTGGGCCGCTGAAGGGGAGCGTGTGAACTTAATCACTTGGCTATGGGGCCGCCCCGAAATTATTTTTTAATAGAAGTTGCACATTTATTCTCTGCTTCCAGGAGAAACTAAAAATGTTCCTACTTTTTGGTAATGCCTAGCACATCTCAATGTAAATGGAACAATTGAGTACTGTAATACACAACACGTGGCTGTTAGGAGGGGATAAATAAAATTATACAATTGACAACTGACATCGAGCTAAGGCTAATGTTTTATTCTTTTTCTCAAAGGAAAAGAATTTTTATCTTAAGATAAGAAATAATCTTCCCATTGATACAGCAAACTTTTAATTCAAACTACAATCGCTAGAAACAATGTTAGTGGTTCTTACTTTCCTTAAAATTTTCTCAAGACTGTTAATCTTCCTAGAAGAACAAAAGTGGCAGCAAAGGACCTTTCTCACGCCGTCTTCCTACCCGTTCTGATTATTAGCTCCTTACTTAACGTTCTTCTCAACTCAGTGCTGATGATACCAATTAATTTTTAAAGAATTTACTTTAGGTTCCATCCCAGACCCTACTGTTAGATCTTCACTTTCATAAAAACAGCCCTTGCTACATAAGGACCTGATAATGTTACTCACCCATAGGGGAGCCTGCTGGGTGGCTGGGTGATGGGGCAGGAAGGTGGTTTTTTTTGGTGTATATCCTTTTGTATCTTTTGAATTTTATACCATAGTGAAAAATAAAATTCCAAAACAAAAGATTCTGTGACTGATAATTACTTAGTCCAGAGTTGATATTTAGCCTGGCAAACAAAACTTTCTGTGTTTTAAGCCCAGTGTACTTTTCTCAACTGTTTTTCCCATTTCTCACAAACTCTCTACGACTGGAGAATTCACAATGCCTGAAACACCCACTGTGTTTTTCCACCTTTTGTCATTGAACATACTTATCCTCGTAGAATACAGACTTCTCTATCTTTAGCTCTCAAAAATTCCATTTTTCAAGATGCGTTCTCTTTTACAAGACTGCTGGATTAACTCAACCGTTACTTGTCTGTCCCTCTTACTTTCCTATGGCATTTATTTTATACCACTCCTCTGACAGTTTCGCTTACTTGATTTATTAAAAATATGTGTAAGTAACTCGACCAGATGGCCGAGGCCTCAAGGGCAGGCAGTACATCCTGCATTGTACATGTAACACTGCCTTGCATTCACAGCTCTCAATTGATATTTTTAGGTTGAATAAAATATAGTTGTTAGGCTTAGATGTACTCTATTGTCATTAAATTTAAGTCAGTGAATACTAAACCAGTCAGCCAATATCTGCCAGAATCTTGAATAAGAACTAGAATGTTGTCACCATGAAAAAGTTGAATCATAACCAGAGACATTTTTAGTGAAATGCTGAAATTTTGTTAAATTGTATGTTATGTTGAAAATTTTTGGCATGCAGAATAAATTTTTTTAAAGTTGGGAGAGTATTTTCTGGTATCAAGTTTTTAATTAGATTTTCTTTTTCTTTCTGAACTGTTGTACGTTAATGAATGCATAACTAATTTGTACTACTTTTTTTCTCCAAGTGTCAAATTACTTTTGTGTTTGTTCCTCCAGGCTACTAGTCAGTGCTTCCCAAGATGGAAAATTAATTATTTGGGATAGCTATACAACAAATAAGGTAGAATTTCTTAATCATTCTCTTCAATAACCTTTTATTTGGTTTGCTGTCCAATTCTTTCCCTCAGCTCTGTTAGTTTATGAAGTGAGCAATAACTTAAGCCTGGTTGAGATTTTAAAGCTAGCTGAGACAGATTTGTAATATCACAGTTGGTCTGTATTAATTGGCATTAAGCGTGTGTCTTTCCACTATATTTTCCTAAAACAAAAAAAAATTTGCATTTTAGAAGTAGCATTTTAGATTAAGTGAGAGCACAGTAGTCATCACGCAGTGTGTTGATTCTCTCCATGGACCTTTTAGCCTCGCTATTCACATACACCTTAAGTTTTGCCACCTGACCTGCAGATGATCACTGTGGGGTAACAAGGCACCTGACAGTGGTGTGAGTAGATCAGTGCAAACTGTTACCATTGTTTGAATTTGAACTCAGAGTATGTGCCCTGTTAGTAGAAGGAGGTGCTCTCTCTCCATGGAGAAACTGATTTAATTGACTCTAGTGCTTGTATTGTTCAGTGTTATGTTGGAGGAAATTCCTCTTTTGAGTGCTACTACAAAAACAGAATTTTACTAAATTCTTTTTTTTTTTTTTTGAGGAAGATTAGCCCTGAGCTAACATATACCACCAATCCTCCTCTTTTTGCTGAGGAAGATTGGCCCTGAGCTAACATCCACTCCCATCTTCCTCTATTTTATATGTGGGATACCTGCCACAGCATGGCTTGACAAGTAGTCCATAGGTCTGCACCTGGGATCTGAACCAGCAAACCCAGGGCTGCCAAAGCAGAGCATGTGAACTTAACTGCTGTGCCACCAGGCCAGCCCCTAAATTCTTTATCTTTAACATTTTCCACTTAATATTTCGAATGCCTATATCAGCATTGAAACGTCCTGTGTCCTTGCTTCTCTTAAAAGAATAATTTCTGAAGAGAGCACTTTAAATCCAAATGATTTGATAATAATACAGAAAAAATAATAGATATTTTAGTGTGCATTAGTATTTTTTTTTCATTGTTCACTTTCTCAAACCATTACATTCTTTATTTTATTTGGCTTGTTTTCTTAGATGCATTTGCTTTTTAGTAATATTTGCTTCATTGTAAATAGATTTGAAAACTTAGTGACTGTTTTTGTAACCTTTCCTTAGTAATAGTTTTGTGCATTGTATTTGTTTACAGATGCATGCTATTCCTTTGCGATCCTCCTGGGTGATGACCTGTGCCTATGCTCCCTCTGGCAATTACGTTGCTTGCGGAGGGCTGGACAACATCTGCTCCATATATAACTTAAAAACCAGAGAGGGAAATGTGAGAGTGAGCCGAGAGTTACCAGGTCACACAGGTGAGCCTCACTAAATACTATGCTTTCCCACCAAACCTGACTTCTGAAGAATGAGCTGATCAAGGAGAACGAGTGACGAATTGTGCTCAGCTGGCAAATGGATGAGTGTTAACCAAGTGAGAGTAGAAATGACTATGAATCAGGGAAACATTAACTTTTTATAATTATATAAATAATGACTATAATTCTGTTTTTGTTTAGAAAATATTATTTTTGCAAAGATGACAAATTTATTGCAAAAAATTCAAATGGTAATGAAAAATACAAAAAGAAAGCAAATAGAATTTTCTATATACTCTGTAACCATGTAACGATTATGGGATTTTGGCATCTGCTATACTATGTAATTGAAAGTATGTATTAAGATGCCTTTATGAAGTATTTTCCCTTTGTGATAGTGCACTGCTCTCTTTGCCAGTGTGCGCACCGTGGGTCAATAGGATAATATTTGGTTAGCGGTGTTAATTAGGACTTTATTTTCAGGTTTCTGCCTCTCTGCCTCTTTGAATCCTTGGCAGTACTATTTGACCGTGCCTTTTACAAAAATCTCTATAATGGCATTTTCCTTCCATTTCCATATTTCCAACCATAGTCAGATGCCACCTTTTTCATGAAGGCTTCACTGAATTTGTTCTTCTGATTTCTCACAGTACTTTTAAAGTATTTCTCCAAGGTACTTACCCCCTTCTGCCATAGATTATAGATACTTGCATAAAGGAGTGTCTCTCTCAGGTAATTGTAGTAGATGGAAGAGACTGCGTCTTACTCCTTTGTAACTTTGAGTGCCCAACACGGTATCATTGACCTAGTAGATACCTAAGGGAGAGTTTATTATTCATAAAATTTAGCTGCAGACAGCATAGAGTTTGAAGTAATTAAAAGTAGAACTATAGAGTTTACTAACACACTTGTCCAGGTATTATATTTTAAAAATATGTATTATATATATTTATAGTGTGTGTATATATATATATATATGAAATATATGTTTCATGTGATAGAGTTATTCAGTCAATGAGAACCTAAAATTTGTCACTCTCTGTGCTGTAGGCTACTTGTCCTGCTGCCGTTTTTTAGATGACAGCCAAATTGTTACAAGTTCAGGAGATACAACTTGGTAAGTTTACCCCAGAAGAACACTAATTTTGGGGATGAGGGTGGGCGTAGGAACTAACGTAAGAAGAGATACTAGTCATTAATGATTTTTATGTACTTTTGATTGTAGTGCTTTATGGGACATCGAAACTGCCCAGCAGACCACCATGTTCACTGGGCATTCTGGAGATGTGATGAGTCTTTCCCTGAGTCCCGACATGAGGACTTTTGTTTCTGGTGCTTGTGACGCCTCTTCCAAGTTATGGGATATTCGAGATGGAATGTGTAGACAGTCTTTCACTGGACACGTGTCGGATATTAATGCTGTCAGTGTAAGTGAATAGCATTTCTAAGGAAAACTTACTGTGCACGTAAAGTTTTGAATGCCACAGCATGATTTTAACAACAAATTGCCTTCAAGGATTCTTATAATGTGCTCTTATAATGTTGAATCCTCATGTAATAAGGGTTGATTTTAAAAAATGGAAAAGTTTTAATCCGTTGGCCAAGGTCTTTACTTGCAGGTGAACTATAAGTTTTATTTCCAACTTTCGAGGAATGGATCACCTTGAGCAGACAGACAGGCCATGCATGTCCACAACAGTGATTTGGAGGAGAACGAGGTCCCATGTCTCTGGGGTCACAGGGAACAACCCAAAGAGAAAACAGTCAGGAAGACAAAGGCAACTGTTGAATGTAGAGAGTGTAGCTTTTGAATTCAGCCAAACCTGGTATCGAATCTTAGTTCTGCTGAGAACCAGCTGAGACCAGGCGGCTCCTTAACTTCTGTGAGCCTCAGCTTCCTCGGTTTTAAAATAGGGGTAATACTACCTACAGCAAAGAATGGTGTGGAGACTAAAGGAAACTGCATATTGGATGCTCAGTAAATGATATAAATTATTTATAAGCTATTTCCTGTTTTTAAAAAACCCCAAACAGGTAACCACAAATGGATTAAGCCAGATAATAAGTACTCAGTGTACAGGAGGATGAACCAGTCATATGTGTTTATAAATTAGGGTAAAGCTAAAAAGGCATTTTGAATAACAATCAAAATGATGACTATCAAGTGGTCAGAATTTGGGGGAGGGATGTTAAGAGGAGATGGGATACTGCTTGACTTCGGGAATTGTCCTATGTAGAGCAGATGCCAGGCTGTATGGATATGTCTAACATTTCCAAAAGTTCTGTAATTGCTGAACATTATGTGCATAAAACACTCTAATTTTGCAGGAAGATGTTTTGTTTGAGAAAATTGGTTTTTATTTATCATGCTCATATTGAAAGTCATTTTTATGTGATTTTGTAGAGGACATTTGTCACCCCCCATACCCTATTAGGCCAAGCTGGTTAGAATGTTAGAATTTTAGAGCAGGCAAACCCAGTCCTCTCCATCTCTCATCCTACCAGCTTCGTCAGGTTGACGATATCCTCTTCTAGTCCTAATTTGCTAAGATTTTATCAGGAGTGAATGTCAACGTTTATCAAATGCTTTCTCTTGAACTGTTGAGACGATCATATGGTTTTTCTTTTTCTGTCTGATCAATGGTGAATTTACATTGATTGATTTTCAAATCTTAACCCAGCCCTGCATTTCTGGGACAAACCTCACTTGGTTATGATGCGTAATCCTTTTTATATATTAGTGGGTTTGATTTGCTGAAATTTTGTTAAGAAGGCTTACATCCATGTTCCTAAAAATTACTGTTCTCTTTTTCATTTTTTGAAATTTTTTTTTTTTTTATTTTGTTATCAGATTGTGCTGGCCTCATAGGAGGAATTGGGAAGCGTTCTCTCCTCCTTAGTTTTCTGGAACAGTTTGTGTAGAATTGATATTGTTTCTTCCATAAATGTTGGGTTGAATTTGCCTGTGAAAGCTCTCTGAACAAGGAGTTTTCTTTGTGAGAAGAGATTTAACTACAAACTTAATGTCTTATTAAATACAGACCTATTTAGATTATCCGTTTCTTCTTGCGTGAGCTCTGGGTAAGTTGTGTCTTTCAAGGAATTGATCTATATCATCTGTTTTGTCAAATTTGTTGGCTTAAAGTTGTTCATAATATTCCTTTCTTATTCTTTTGGTTTCTGTAGGATATCTCATTCATAATGTTGGTAATTTGGCTCTTAGTTTTTTCCTGATTAGTCTGGTGTTGTGGGTTGAATGGTATGCCTCCAAACTGAAATCCTAACCCCAGTACGTCAGAATGTGACCTCATTTGAAAATAGGGCTGTTGCAGATGTGGTTCATTGAGTCATACTGGATTGGGGGCCCTTAATCCAATGTGATTGGAGTCCTTCGAAAAAGGGGAAATTTAGAGACAGACAAGCATAGAGAGAAAACAATGTGAAGAGACACAGGGAAACAATCTTCATCTACAAGCCAAGGAGAGGGGCCTCACAGACCCTTCCCTCCCAGCCTGCAGACACCACGATCGCAGACTTCTAGCCTCCAGAACTGTGAAACAATACGTTTTTGTTGTTTGAGTCACTCAATTTGTGGTCCTTTATCACGGGAGCCCTAGCAAACTAATAGATTTGGCTAGAGGTTAATCACTTTTATTTGTCTTCTCAAAGAACCATCTTTTGGTTCCGATGATTTTCTCTATTTTTTCTGTTTTCTGTTCCATTGATTTTCACTCTGATCTTTATTATTCTCTGCTGCTTGAGTTTCATTTCCTTTCCTATTTCTAGTTTCTTAAGGTAGAAGCTGACACCATTGATTTGAAACTTTTTTCTTTTCTAATATTGGAACTAAAAGTTATAAATTTCCTCCTAAGCTCTGCTTTTAGCTACCTTCCACAAATTTTTATGTGTTGTGTTTTCATTTTCATTTAGTTCAAAATTCTTTGTAATTTTCCTTTTGGTCTCTTTAACCCATGAGCTATTTAGAAGTATGTTATAGTTTCCAAATATTTGGAGATTTTCTAGATATCTTTATTTTTCTTAAATTTTAAGTTAATTTCATTATGGTCAAAGACTATACTTTGTAGGATTTATATGATTTGAATCCTTCTAAATTTCTTGAGACTTGTTTTATGGTCCAGAATACGGTCTGTCTTGGTCAGTGTTCCATATGCATTTGAGAAGAGTCTGTATTCTGCTGTGGTTGGGTGGAGAGTTGTTATACATTCAGTTAGGACGATTTCGTTGATTGTGTTATTCGGGTCTTATGTATCCTTACTGATTTTTGTCTGTTCTTTCTATTCATTATTGAGAGAGGGGTGTTGGTGTCTCTAATTGTGTATTTGTTCATTTTTTCTTGCAGTCTATTAGTTTTTGCTTCATGTATTTCAAAGCATAAACCTTTAGAATTGTTATGACCTCTCGATGACTTGGTTCCTTTATCATTATGAAATTTATTTTTTTTTTATCCCTGGTAATATTATTTGCTCTAAAATCTCTTTCTGATATTAATAGAACTACCCCAGCTTTCTTTCGATTTGTGTTAGCATGGGCAAATCCTGTTCCTTGCTTTTCTTTTCCCATTTGTGTCTTTATCTTCAAAGTGACTTTCTTATAGGTGGCAGTGGGGCCTTGCTTTCTTTCAGTCTGATTTCTGCCTTTTACTGTTTACAGCAATTGCATTTTATGTGATTATTGTGTTGACAAGATTAGATTTACATCCACCATCTTGCTGTTTTTTATTTTTCCCATCTATTCTTTGCTCTCTTTTCCTGTTTTCTGCCTTCTTTTGAGTTAATTTTTTTTTAAATTATGAATCCCTTTTATTTCATTTCTTGCTTATTAGCAATAACTTTTAGTGGTTGCTGTAGAGTTTGTAATATACATCCTTAGTTTGTGGCAGTATACTTTCAAGTGATATTACACCACTTTACATATAGATAAGAACCTTTAAGCTGTTTACTTCTATTTCTCCCCTCTCAGCCTTTGTGCCACTTTTGTCATACATTTTACTCTTTTTTTTTTTGCTGAGGAAGATTAGCCCCAAGCTGACATCTATTGCCAATCTTCCTCTTTTTTTGCTTGAGAAAGATTAGTCCTGAGCTAACATCTATGCCAGTCTTCCTCTATTTTATATGTGGGTCACCACCACAGCATGGCTGACAAGTGGTGTAGGTCCTCACCTGGGATCTGAACCCACAAACCCAGGCCACTGAAGTGGAGTGCACTGAACTTAACCACCAGGCCACAGGGCTGGCCTCATGCATTTTACTTTTATACGTTTTAAACCCCACAATACATTGATATTATTTTTGCTTTCAATAGTTGATTATCTTTTACAGATATTTAAATAAAAAAAATTTATGTTTACATAGTTACCATTTTCTGTGTTCCTCATTCTTTTGTGCATAGATTCAGATTTCCTTCTGCTTGAAGGGCTTCCTTTAACATTTCTCATAGTACAGGTCTGCTAAAGATAAAGTCCTTCAGCTTTTGTATGTCTAAAAAATTTTTATTTTGCCTCCATATTTGAAAGATGTTTTCACTGGTTGAGTTTTTTTCTTTTTCTTTTGATACCGTAAAGATGTTACTCCACTGTCTTCCATTCCTGTTGTTACTGATGAGGAGGAACATGCTGTCATCCTTATATTTGGTCTCTCCACACAGTGTGACCTTTGTTTTCCTCTGGCTGCTTTTAATATTTTCTCTTTACTACTGTTTTTAAGCAACTTGATTATGATGTATCTTTGTATGGTTTTCTTCATATTTCTTGTGTTTGCATCTGTGGGTTTTAGTTTTCATCATTGGGAAATTTTTCAGTCATTATCATTCAAATATTTTTTTATCTCCTCTTCTCTCCTTTGGGGACTCCAAATACACGTTAAGCCGCTTGAAGTGTTCCTGTAGCTCACTAATGCTCTGTTCATTGTATTTTTCAGTCTTTTCTCTCTGTATTTCATTTAGATAGATTCTATTGCTATGTCTTCAAGCTCACTACTCTTTTCTACTGCAGTGTCTAATCTGCCATTAAACTCATACAGTATACTTTTTATCTCAGACATTGCCATGTCCTTGTCTATTAATTCTGTTGTCTGTGACATTTGCTGGGTTTGTTTCAACTGATTGATTTTCTTCCTGATTATGGGTCATATTTTCTTTTTTGCATGTCTGATTTTCATTAGATTCCAGACATTGCGAATTTTACCTTCTTGGGTGCCGGATAATTTTGTATTCTTATAAATATTACTTGGCTTTGTTCTGGGGCAATTGTTAAGTTACTTAGAAACAGTTTGATCCTTTCAGGTATTGCATTTAAGTTTTGTAAGGTGGGACCACCACTTTGTGCATGCCTAAGTTTGCCCCACTGGTAAAGAAAAACCCTTACGATCTCTCTTCCCAATGAATTATGAGGTTTTCCCTCTTGCTGGTGGGAACAGGCATTATTCTTGGCCCTGTGTAGCATCAAAGTTTGTTTCCTTTAGCCCTTTTGGGTGTTTCTCTCCCTGCTTGAGTAGTTTCCTACCACCCCTGTGCTGATCAGTACTCAGCTGAACACTTGAGGGGCCCCTCATCATCTCTCCTCAGTTTTCTCTCTGTCAGGCATTGTCCTCGCTGGTGCTCTGGCCTGTAAACTCCAGCTGCCTTGGGCTCCTTGGATTCCCAGCTTTGTCTCCTCAACTGAGGGATGTCAATGGGCTTCCTCTGGGTTCTTCTTCCTGCACCATGACCTGTAAACTTTCTCCAGGTAGTAAGATGGGGCAATTGTAGGGCTTACCTCATTTGTTTCTTGTCTCTTGGGGACCACTCTCCTTTGTTGACCGATACCCAATGTCTTTAGAACTATGTTTATATTTTGTCCATTTTATTTTCAGTTTTTTAGCATGAGGGTAAACGTGATCACTGTTACTCCATTTTGGCTGAAAACAGAAGTATAGCCAAGAAATAATTTTAAAAAATAAAATTATCTTAGCTCAAGAAAGAAACCTATTTGAACATTTTAGGGGCTTATCAAGTACTTAAATGTAATTTTAAAAGACCAATACAGACATAGCCTCTTGAATTTAAAATATCAAAAGATAAGGACAAAAATTTCTAGAAATATTCAAGGTGAAAAAGTAGATTACCTAGATACAAAAGATAAAAAAATCAGGCTGCCCTCACACTTTTCCATGATAAACAATGCTGGAGGCTTCTGAATAATATCTGCTGAGTATTAAGGGAGAAATATTGTGACCTGGGAATTTTAAGTATCAGAGGTCATATTTAATGATGCGTGAAAAAAATTAGAGTAAATATAACACAGGATAGGAGATTAAGACCAAGTACAATCACTTAAGGCAATATATAATAATGCAAATGGTAGCCACTATTAAAAGATAGAGAATAAATTGAACTATATGTTGTTTACAAGAAACACACCTAAAACAAAATGGCCCAGGAAGGCTAAAAGTAAAAATGAAAGAGCATGCAAACCATAAACTAAAGGAAATCTGTAGTAACAGTACTATATTTCTATTAGACAAAGCAAAATTGAAACAAAAACTATAGGAAGATGAGAAAATTTTTATATTAATAAGAGGTACAATCTATTTAGCAATGCAAGGAGAAATGAACCCCAAACACCATTGTAGAGACTTTAAAGCACAACTTTGAGATACTGATATCTTAAGTAGACAAGAAATGAGATACTGAGGATTTGAATAATGTCACTTAATAATGTTGACTGAATAAGACATATTGCACTTTGCACCACGCAAATGTCCTTAAACATTTGTAAAGACTGATGACATAGTAGGCCACTAGAGAAATAATAAATAAATCTGAGACATAGCTCAGAACATCAAAATAAGAACAATACGCACTTTGAGAGGAAGGAGATGGTAATTAGAAAAGCAGAAATACAGAGTAAAGCTGAAGCCTCTCCTCGAGCCAGCAGGGTCCCCATGATCTCGCCTGGAGTCCGTCCACAATCCTTTAGCTGCGATTCTGAAATCCACAAAGTTCTGAAAATCATTTATTCCCCTAAATTTAGTGCAGACTTATTTTGTGGCAGAATTACTGGGAACAAGAGGCCTATTATAGTCTTTCTTTATCCCACTTAGTATGACTCTTTGTTTCACTGAAGAAATATTATTGTGTTTGATTACAGGGTGCTACCCCAGCCCCAGCGGAGTTTGACTTAATACACAACATATTACCTTTCTAAATTCTGAAAAACAGCTGTCCTAAGGGGCTCATAAAAGCCAACAGGGGACCGTGGACCTGTGATTGCCTTGTTACTCATCCTGCCTCCCTCTCCCCTGTGAGCTTGCCTCCACTCACTCTGTGTGGCCACGCTGGCCTCCTAGCTGTCCCTGGCACATGTCCTCCTCAGGGGCTGTCACCCTGCTGCCCCCTCCCTCTCAAGCCCTCTCCTTCCCAGTAGCCGAGGTCACGAGGTCACGCACAGCTCATTGCTGCCCCTCCTTCACCTCTTCAGTAAATATTGGCTTCTCAGTAAAGCCTTCCCTGGACATCCTGACGTGTCACCCCCACCTCCTTTCCCTGCTTTATCATGATGTAACATACTTATTTATTTATTTGTCATGCTTGTTGTCTGCTTTATAAGAATATAAGCTCCACAGAGACGAGGATTTTTGCCAGTTTTGTTTACCCCGGTGTATCACTAGCATCTAGAAGAGTGCATGACACACAGTAGGTGCTCAATAAATATTTGTTGAATGAAAAAATATCTAGAAAATTTTATAATAGAAAACTATTAGAAAATAGAAAAATTCAAATACTCTAAGACATGGTTCCCTAACTCTCTGGTAAACTTAACCTGGAAAAAAAAGGATAAAAATCACAGATTTACCAAATTAAGAAGAATAACAGTTATGTTACAGATAAAACATGATTTTAAAAAATCATAAGAAAATACACTGTATAACTTATGGTAGTTAATTCTAAGTCACAAATTTCCAAAATTAACTCAGTAAGTGAAAGCCTGAATAGCTTGATAATAATTGAAAAAAAATTAATAAAAAAATAGTTTCAAAAAAACTTCCATGCTCACATAGTTTCATTGGCAAGTGTTTCAGACTTTGAAGGCACAGAAAACTTCTGTGCTATTGAAACTTTCTGAACACAGAAAAATACTAAGAGTTTTTCAGTTTATTGTATCAAATAAACCAGCATAATCCTTATACCAAAACACAAGAAAAGGTATCCCTTAGAACTAGATTAAAGTATTTTAGGATAAATTATAGCAAATCAAATTCAACAATGTGTCAAAGTAAAAACACATCATTATCAAGTGAAAATGAGTTCTAGCAGTGCAAGAGTGATTTAATGTTAGATTTATTAATGAAATTTACCACATCAGTTTGTCAGTATTTCAGATGCTAAAAAGGTATCTTAAAAGGGAAACACCTATGTCTTTAAAAAAAAAAAAAAGACAACTTGATAAATCAGTACTAGAAAACTCTTCTCTATCATTAAAAAAAAAAACTTAAATGAACAACCAGCATCCCACACAAACACACCATTTTTCTTTGAATATATATTAAATGCATCAGATACATTCTAAATATACATTTCCCCCAGTTCTGAGGGCCGTCTTAAGCTCCCAGGCAGTGAAAACTAGTTCATTGTACTGGTAAAGTGAGCATATAATATGGTATGATCCCAACCGGGAACCTTATGCATGTGAAAGAGTGTTGTTAATGATTTCATGATGGGGAAAGTCATAAATGGGGACTGTCCTGGACAAAATGGGATGTATGGTCATCCTGTCTCGTGGATGTAGAGTGCTCACATGCCCCACACACTCTGAGCCCAAAGGGGTGATCTTCTGAATTGGGTGTTTTGCACGGGATGACCTGTACCGTACCCGAGGCTTCTCGGTCCTGTCTGTGGTAGGGAACAGGTTTAATCCACACATGCTGATAGAATGTGTGCAAATGATAGTGCTGGACTTCCTGCTGGGGAACAACGGAGAATAAATTGCTGGATGATAATAAGGGAAGGAAGTGGTCAAAACCACGAGCCTATAAGTAGGCAGTAAGGGTTTGGTGAAGCCTTTGACTTTACCAAGGGTTGTAAACTTCACTGTAGCCTGGATGACTAATGTTTGATTGGATGCTTGGTAGATAGAAAAAATTATGGCTAGAGGTTCCTTTTGCCTTTTGGGGAATTTGAAAAGAAGGAAGAGCCGTTCTTCCTGTTTGATGGGGAGAAACTGTCTCCACTGGGACCAGGCTTTAACTCTCCTGAAAGCATTAAAGTAAAGTACTTGCATTTCCAAGAACCTGTTAACCTATTCTCACTGCCCTGTCCACCATCCCCCTGAGAAAGGGACTTCGTCACCATGAAACACACTTGGCATTCTCATTATATTAAGTAACAAGACAGTAATACCATCACCACTATTTAAATTGTTCTGAAACTTCCAGCCCGTATAGTTGGACCCAAAAGTGAAATAAGAGATGCATTAGAAAGTAGAAAAAAAATCATTATTTACATGTTTAGTTATTTAGATATCCCAAAAAAGAGTTCAGTGTATTTTCTGAATTACCAAAAATTATTTTAAAATCAATAACTTTCCTATGCCAATAATATCCTGGTAGAAAATAGAAAGGAAGAAAATCCTACTGAGAGTAGCAACAAAAATTATAAACTAGGCAAGGAATATTTAAGAAGAAACATGCAGAATCTTTATGAAGACAATCATAAAACTTTACTAGTAAACATTTTTTTTTAATTCCATGTTCTCAAATGGAAAGACTGCATATTGTAAACCAATCATTTATCCCTCAAACTAATTTTTAGGTTTACTACAAATTTTAATCAAAACACCAAGTCAATTTTTCGGGGTTTTTTTGAGATGAGTCAGAGGAATATAGAGGAGACTCAATCAGATGTCTGAAATTCAAGTGGGAAAAAGAGGACAGACAGGTTTGAAGGAGAATAACAAGAGTGTTTTGCCATGCCAGATAATAAAATTGAATATCAAGTTAGAATGATTTAAAAAAAAAAAAGGCGTGAGGGGCTGCCCCATGGCCAAGTGGTTAAGTTCGCGTGCTCCGCTTCGATGGCCTGGGGTTTCACCAGTTCAGATCCTGGGCGCGGACCTGGCACTGCTCATCAAGCCACGCTGAGGCGGCGTCCCACATGCCACAACCAGAAGGGTCTACAACTAGAGTATACACCTGTGTACTGGGGGGCTTTGGGGAGAAGAAGATGGAAAAAAAAAAAATGAAGATTGGCAACAGATGTTAGCTCAGTTTCCAATCTTTAAAAAAAAAAAAAGCGTGATATAGGTACAACCAAGGACAAAAAACTGAAAACTAACATTTTCGTGTCTATATGAGCTTAGTAAATTACAGATGTTGCAACAAAATCAGTAGGAAAATGATTATTTAATTAACAGCTGGGACAATTGCTTAACTATTGAGAAAATTAAGTTAGATCTTTACACGGAATGCTGTATATCAAATAAATTCCAGATGGGTAAAAATTAAGGTGTGAAAAATGAAATTAGTAAAAAATAAACTAGAAGAAAATATAACTAAACATCAGTTAATATCTTGGGGAAGGACTTTATTCATAAAAACAATAAAGGAAATCTCAAAGGGAAAGATAAATTTACATAAAAATTAAAAATTGCTTTATATTTTGTAAAGAGTAAACAGTATTAGAAGGCAAATGATAAACTATAAAATAATAGTTACAACAAATAAACCAAACAAATTTATATTCTTCATTTTATTCCTACAAGTCAATAAGTACTAACAGCACAGTAAAGGATGAGCAGAGGTCGTGAATCGTTGTTCACAGAGGTAATAGACAGATGGCCAGTAGATATATTGAAAAAAAAGTGATTTCCTCTTTGTAAGAAGTCAGTGTTGAGCAGTGCCAGTGTCTGAGAGATTCATGATTTTCTTTACACTAGCTTAACTTTATAACCTCACCTGACTGGAATGATTTGTGGTCTCTTTTATAAAATTTTTCCTATTTATTTTTCCTAATGGGATTTTCAAACATTTCTTTCAGAGTACACATACATAAAATTCTATAATTAGTAGCAATATTTAGTTTAAGTTTTTTTTTAAAGATGGGCACCTGAGCTAACAACAACTGTTACCAATCTTCTTTTAATTTTTTTTTTTCTCCTTCTCCCCAAAGCCCCCCAGTACATAGTTGTATATTCTAGCTCTGAGTGCCTCTGGTTGTGGCATGTGGGACGCTGCCTCAGCGTGGCCTGATGAGCGGTGCCATGTCCATGCCGAGGATCCGAATCGGTGAGACCCTGGGCCGCCGAAGCAGAATGCGTAACCGTAACCACTCAGCCACAGGCCGGCCCCTGGTTTAAGTGTTTAAATAAGACATATGGAGGACCAGAGCCAACATTTATTGAATACTTGCTGTGTGCTGAACAATGGGCTCGCTGTGTACTTTGCCTGTTATTTCATTCAATCCTCACCGACACTCTAAAACTGAAACTAAGGCCCAAAGTGTTTAAGAATCTTTAGTGCCCAATATCACTTGCCTGGTAAGAAGCCAAGGTGGAATTTGAATCTGGGTTTGTCTTACCCCAGAGTTTGTTATTATACTGCCTCACCTGATTTTTGTGTACTTCCGTGGAATAAATGTTTGTTGCTTTTCTTTCTAGTTTTTCCCAAATGGCTATGCCTTTGCCACCGGCTCTGATGATGCCACTTGCCGGCTCTTCGACCTTCGTGCAGACCAAGAGTTGTTACTGTATTCCCATGACAACATCATCTGTGGAATCACTTCCGTAGCCTTCTCAAAAAGTGGGCGCCTCCTGTTAGCTGGTTATGACGACTTTAATTGTAACGTATGGGACACGCTAAAAGGAGATCGTGCAGGTTAGTAAACATGTCCCCAGTGGGCTTTGATTTTCTCCAGAAACATGCAGAGGTTCCCGTCAGTTGTTCTGGAGGCCTCCTGGCCACCCTGGAGCTGTGGGGAAGGGTACCCTGGCAGTTCTCATTCGTGGTCATTGTTGCCCTTTGAGAAGAGTTACAGCCCATCAGCCATACTTACAGTTCTGTTTTCTGACGAGTAATGTCTAGTTCTATAATATTTTCTTGTTTGGTAGGTTTCGATATAAAGATGAACAGTGAATATATCTGTTGAGGGTTTCGCTTTTACATCCTTCCTCCCACCACGGCCACATCCTTCCCATTTTTCACTTTTTCCCATGTAGTTTTTTTTTTAGAACATCAGTCAGTGTTTCCATAATTATGACTTTTTAAACAATATTTACTGCTGAGCAATGAGGTATATATACTCTGGCTTCTTTTGCTGTGGAGCTTTTTTGTATATTCTCTAGGGTGAAATTAATTTTTCAGTTTATATGCTTAATTTTGATGTACTTCTAGTTAATCTTCAGTCTTTTTGCCAGTTTTGATGTCTTGGAGTGGATCCATTTCCATCCATTGTGCTGGACATTCAGTGGATCTTTTCAATCTGGAAACTTACACCCTGTAGTACTGGGAAGTTTTTAAGGCACTCGTTTCATAAATAAAATCTTTTGTTTGTCTGAGGTTATTAATGAAAACCTTTTTTTGAAGTTTTCTTTTTTTAAAATTTTTTTATTTTTTTTAAGGTATACTTCTTTTGGTGAGGAAGATTGGCCCTGAACTAACATCTGGTGCCAATCTTCCTCGTTTTTTTTTCCCCCTCCTCTAAGCCCCAGTAAATAGTTGTATATCCTAGTTGTCTGTTGTTCTAGTTTGTATATGTGTGATGCCTCTACCGCATGACTTGAGCGGTGCATAGGTCCACACCCAGGATCTGAACCAGCGAACCCCAGGCCACCGAAGTGGAGTGCACGAACCCAACCACTGTGCCACTGGGCCAGCCCCTGAAGTCGTCTTCTTCAAGCATAATCTTTGTGTTTTCCAGGTTGCTTTTTTCCCCTTATTTATTTTTTTAGTCCCCTGTCCTTATTTTTAAAATATTTCTGGGGGCCGGCCCAGTGGCACAGCAGTTAAGTTCACACGTCCTGCTTAGGCCGCCTGGGGTTCCCTGGTTTGGATCCCGGGTGCAGACATGGCACCACTTGGCAAGCCATGCTGTGGTAGGCGTCCCACATATAAAGTAGAGGAAGATGGGCACGGACGTTAGCTCAGGGCCAGTCTTCCTCAGCAAAAAGAGGAGCATTGGCAGCAGTTAGCTCAGGGCTAATCTTCCTCAAAAAAAAAAAAAATTTCCTTAAAAGTCTGGTGATTCTTAGCTTCTTATTCTTACTTAAGAGTGAGGCAGTAAGACTGTTTGAAAGCCCTCTGCACATGGTGAGGCGTGTTGACTGAAGGCCTTGCTGAAGGATGATCTGGTCAGGCTTTCATCTGGGGACCTCTGATATACCTTACAGCATTTTTTCCCCTCAAGCTAGCTGTGTTCTCAGAGATGGATTTTCCACTTTTCTACCTGAAATGTATAAGCTGGCTGCTAGTTTGGGGGCTGATTTCAGGAGGAAAGCTGAGGGGGAAAACAGCAAGTAAACTTTCTGTATTCTCCATTTTCAGCGCATTTCACCAATCTCAACTCTGCCTATTTTCTTCTAGTTAAGAGACCCTCATTTACTCTCTCTAGCAAGTAAGTCTCTCGTCTTCTGTCCTGGTGCAGGACCATCAGTCACCTGCCTCTGCTGAGTGGAGGAGGCCACCTGGGGAGTCTGGCTGTTCCTCACCACTTTTGACTGCAGTCTCTGTTTACCCCATCTTTGCCCCTACCTGGTTCCAGAGATACCTGTATCTCTGTATCCACTAGTCTCTGACCCTTTCGGAGGTTCTGCAGTGTAATTTTGTTTCTTGTTACCACCGTCCAGCTTACAAAATTTCATTGCCATTATCTGCTCTCATGTGTTCACCATCCTTGAGGGTTTATGTCCTTACCCTTTAAGCTCCTTTACAGTTGTTAAAGTTTTTGAGGGAGGAGAGGCAGTATCAACATTCCCAGGAATAATCTTCTACAACCTCTCTTAAGAGACTGCAGTCAAGTTCACAGTTTTGCATTTTGCAAGTAGATTTTCAGAGGTATTTTGTCGTCCAAAGCCAATTACTTTTTTAAGGGATTAAAAAGGTACCTGGATGAAATCAATTAGTTCCATAACAAAATAAAAATATGTCTGTTTTCCATATTTTTTAACATAGGGGTGAGTTTTAGTTTTGCTTTGCTTACAACTGTTTGGTTTCAAGTTGGCTCAATTGGATGCTTTCCCCTTAAAACTGAGTCCTGACTCATGAATCGCTCATTGATTCTCCTTTCCAGTGTAACTTGCAGTATTTAGCCACAAGGTTCCTTTTTTGTTATGTGAACCATACTGGTAAATTTGCCCACTGCCAAACGTTGCCCTCCTTGGAGGTACTATGGAGAATATGAAGAGTTAGACAAGATGACTTTTGTTCCTGAGATCAGGGGAAAATGATACACTTAATTATATAGGGAGATAATGCAAACTCAAACACAGTATATTAAAGAAGAAATTCCTATTGAGAATTTGACATACTCTTTTTTCTGCTTTTAAAGATTTTATTTTTTTCCTTTTTCTCCCCAAAGCCCCCCCGGTACATAGTTGTATATTCTTCATTGTGGGTCCTTCTAGTTGTGGCATGTGGGACGCTGCCTCAGCGTGGTTTGATGAGCAGTGCCATGTCCGCGCCCAGGATTCGAACCAACGAAACACTGGGCCGCCTGCAGCGCAGTGGGCGAACTTAACCACTCGGCCAGGGGGCCAGCCCCGAGAATTTGACATATTCTAATTTTTCTTTTAAATCTTTACATTTCTCATTTTCCTCTCAAATGTTTGGGAGTATTTAATCCTGTGTGGTGATCAGAATATCAAATGAGTTTAATATACAAAAGAAACAAAAATCTAGATGAGTTTGATGGTTTCAGAAAGTTATAACCAAAATATTCCAGTGTTTGGTGGTTAACAGAAGAAAGTAAATAAATTATGTTGGTATTTTTTGGAAGTGGTGATATAAGGTGACTTCATTCTTACTGTTTTTTTTGTTCTTGTGGTAAAAGGCTACTTCATTGAACTTCATTTAAAATTTGTTTTTGTTGAAAATGGCATAGCTCAGTGACAAAGTTTGGAGTATCATGAACTATAGAGATGTAGAATGAAAGTCTACATCTATTTTCCTAGATATAAGAAAGCATAATTGCAAAATCATGTTTCAAAAATGAAAAACACAGTTTGATGCACGTCAGAAATTCATGTAATATGAAGAATTGTCTTTTACATAATGTGTCCAGCTTGTCCCTGGCACTCAGTCGAACCTGTCAGCTACTCTTCTAGATCGTTTTTTTTGGTGAGGAGGATTGTCACTGAGCTAACATCTGTGCCAGTCTTCTTCTGTGTTCTAAGTGGGATGCTGCCACAGCGTGGCTTGGTGAGCGGTGTGCAGGTCCGTGCCCGGGATCTGAACTTGCGAACCCTGGGCCCCCAAAGTGGAGCGCATGAACTTAACTGCTACACCACTGGGCCGGCCCCGCTTCTAGATCTTTTATGCGTACACGTTTAATTCTAAAACTTACCCACTGCTAACTTTTTACTGAACTTTTGCTTTTCAGGTGTCCTTGCTGGTCATGACAACCGTGTCAGCTGCTTGGGTGTAACTGATGATGGCATGGCTGTGGCCACAGGCTCCTGGGACAGTTTTCTTAGAATCTGGAATTAACAATGCACACGAATTTTCTGTTCTCCGTTGGCATCTGGAGAAATCAGTGCTACAGCCTATAGCTGTGAAAAAAATTCTACCTTATATTTGCAGGTGAAGATTTTTCTATTGAGATTATTATATACAAAAAGCAGCTTTCGGTAAGCTACAAAACAAAAAAAAGGTGGAAAAAACAAGGCAGAGGTGCTTGCTGAGATCAAAAGGACTGGTGTATTAATTTGAGGAGTCGAGCTGATTTAAACGTGATGAATTTTTGCTTGTACTCAGTCTAATTCTTTATTTTTTGTGTGTAGAACAGAATATACACGTTATAGCAGCCTATGTTTGATTGTTTGCATTTTTTAAGAACTGCATTTTTAACTTCGTGTACATAAGAAATGTCACATTTTTGAGTTTTTGAACCAAGCACAGTAATGGATGGAAGTGACACCATATGCGTGTGTGCTTATGTCTGAAGAAAGTCTCCTTGAATTCTGACCTTCCTTTTTAATCAAAAAGAGATCCTGGTTGCTTAATGTTTAAGAATGCTGACAGCCCTAGGTACCTCGGGGGAGTCCTTTTGACCATCATTAGTTTCTGGTACATCCTTTGCCATCCTATCAATTTAAATATGCCATTTTTCAGTCCTTTGAGGGGGGAGATAATCTGAAGGCCAGGGAATAAAGATTTCACTCTGAAATTTTAGACATACGTAAGAAACTCTTATTACATTAATAATAGGTAGATAGCAGTAATCGCATATAAATCGTTCTCCACATTTAGAAAGCTGATTATGATCAAATGACACTTTGAGTAATCCTCTAAATAGTTGGAATTTCCTATTGATTTCATATTCTAGAACTGAGGTTGTAGAGTGCCCTGGTTATTTCAGAGATTGAGAACATTTGGATTGTCCTTGCATCTAGACAATTTTTCCCAGTGTTCTCCGTCAGTATTGCATCTAGATAGGAAACGTATGACGGCATTGTTTATGAAGCGAGTGTAAAATCTAACCAGTCACTAGACCCGATTAGTTACAGTTGTAACAGGGTGGCTTTATGAATTTATGTTCACATAATATGAAATCGAAATTGATGTCAACTATCTGTGCCTTCAAAATTTAAAAAAGGAAACATTCACAATTTTTGCTTTTCTGTAATATTTCTTCCGTTAGCACAAAATTTTGGTTTCTAAGTGGTTTTGCTTCAAAGAATGCCTAGATCCAAGTGATCCCATTTGAAATCCAAAAGAAAAATTCCAAGAGCCGTTCTTAAAGGAGTCAGAGGAAAGTAGTAAGCAAGTCTTCTGCTTGTCAGAGGGTATAATAATGTGTCTATTACTAAAGGAATTTAAACAAAGATGCTTTCCTCTTGGATTTTCTCCTACAAATAAATCTAAATGATTAATAGAAGGTTGTTAGTCTTGTTTGATGGTGAATAGAGAAATGGATTGTGTTTGTATAGTAAACTGTGTCTGTTACCGTTGAGATAGGTCTCTCTTAACTTTTGATCACCTGTAACCCTAACCTAAATGCTCCCAAATTTTACTTGTAAATGTTCACTTTTATATTGTGGATGTGCTAATAAGTGCATCAACTAACTATAATGAAGTCAGTATCAGTTTTGGTTAAGATCAGTTGATATTAAAAATAGAGAATACAATGGATAGAGGGAGATTAAGGTATAGGACCAAAAAAAGACTGTTGTAGACGGCAGGCATGAATGTATATTTATATACACATTATTCTCAGATTTCTGTGGATTTTTGATATTAACGTTTGTGGACTATTTATATCACTTCATAAAGAGCAGCTCTTTGAGATAAGGTGAGAATATTTTAAAGAAACACCCTGATTTCCAACAAAAGGGGGGAGCTGAGGGTTTGCCATGTAGTTCAGCAATTCATTCCAAAATCCTGTTCAAGAAAGCACTTCAGCCATGTGCAAAGTAACCTTCTACCTATCTCTCCTGTACTCTGAAAGTTATTCTAGTAACAAGATACTTTAGAGAGGCACACAGACAAGAATTCTAGTCTTAAACATGTTGATAAAAACAATTTAAATGTTATCAAAGTTTTTGTCGATAGTTTAAAATCAACTCCCATAAATAAAATGTACCAGGCAACTGAAAACTAACCAAGTGGTTAATTATACATGTGACCAAATGGTGACCTCATTACCACATTACATACTAGTTAAACCTATGCCTTCTGGTGATATGGGTTCCAGTTGCTAAATATATTTGTTTTCTTGCAGTTTGAGTTCAGCTAATTGTCTAATTTTGCTGTGCATAAGACTTCCTGAAATCACTAAGAGGAGTATATAATTTGTGGAAGCACTGTATACTTTGAATCTTAGTTTTTCAAGACTTAAAAAATATGGCCAGATGTAGTTTTAAGGATTTTCATCATCAAGAATATTGGAATTATCTGCTGCCTTTTTTTTTTACCTTATACGTACTATTTAAACATAACATGCCTTGGCAGGTTTATTTGTAGACTCTTTAATCGCTTCATAAAGAGTTTTTTTGAGATCTGGCAAGAATACTTTAAAGGCATATTCCTTCCTAAAACAAAGTGATAGTGATTGCCATGTGGTTCAGCAAATCATCCCAAAACCTGCTCAAGAAGGCACTTCTTGCTGTTGGCAGGGACATCGCCACTTTGCTGGACAGGCCTCATTGTGGGCAGCTATACGATTAGAGATTTACATTACATATCTAAGGTCCCTCCCTAGTTCAGATTTCCATAGTTGTGATTCCATGGCTACATACACCATGCTGAGTTCCATCTTCACAGGGCAAAGCCTCGGGCTTACTATTGCAGCTGCAGGAGAGCCCAGGAGGCAGCTGTCCTTATTTTAGTTTAGACTCAGCTGAACTGATGAATACTGCATGACAGTAAACTAGCCCCTTAAACATAATGGAGGTAGCTGCTTCTGGAATGTGTTGAGCAATTTTAAAGTTAACCTATTAAAAGTGAAAAGGAATCTTGACTTCTCCAGGTGACAAAATGAAATTTCTCCTGTTGTTAAAAAACTAAGCTTTTCAAAGTGAAAAAGTTCAGGGAAATTTATGCTTTGATTACTGGTGAATGTCTCACATTTTAAATTATAACACAGTCGAATACTTGTGGCTTGTTTGTTGACGTGTTTAAACTTATGGAAACTCATTAAACAATCTCCCAAATGAGCCTATCATCATTTTAATAATGAAGATATTCTTTCTGTGATCTTTAGGGTATGAGTCGGGCTTAAATTTTTTTTTTTAAATTTGCTATTTCAACTTCTGTTTTCCTTTTTGCCTTTGTGGAAAGCAAAATTTAAAACTATTTCGTAGCTCTTGTTAGAATTTTTTAAACATCCACAAGTTAGACCATCTTTCTTGTGAGAAACGGTAGCACAATGAATACAACTGGTATTTTTAAATTAGATTAAGTAGAATGTGAAGTCCACTTCATACTTACTAGTTTTTCTCCCATTGTTCATTTTAAGTTGCCTTAAATTCAGTGCTATAATTAAAAATATTGGTTACAATAGGTACTCATTAAAATGGTCTATAGTTGAATGTCTAAGCTAGCATTGTTTAAAAAAGTAATTTATTAATCAGATTGATGGTACACCTTGTATTTAGCAAATTTGCTTGCATGTTGATAAAATTTCCTAAAAGCCTTTTTTCTTAAATCCAATTACTGATCCTATGAAAGTTATGATAATGCAGCATCATGAGAAAACTGGTTATGTGTTTCAACTGGTGTTAAATGTGCCCGACAAAATCTTACATCATACAGTATTTATGTTTTAATTAATAGAACTTCATTGATATATTGGTAGATATTTTAAGCCTTTCTGTCTTTTACACAATGGTGCTCTATCCTATTGTTCTCTCTTTTCAAAGAAGCATCTGAACACTTGTATTTGCATATTCTTACCCAAAGGCATCCATATCTAAGTGGTTTTTTAAAGTTGATTAAAATGCTTTTCTTCACCTAGAACGGTTTCTATACACTTGTGGCCACTTGACTCTGCATGTCAGTAGCGTGACTAGGGGAAGGGTGAATGTACCAGATTAAAGCTCTTATAACAGCTTTAAGCCAAACCAACTATGGACTTGTACCATGATGTAAAAGTATTCTTGGATCTCTCTTGCACAGTGATTCATTCCTTTATTTGTACAGTAGCTCTGTGAAATAATGTTGCTGTGAATTGATATTGTAATCAATAAAGTGCTTTTAACCAGATTTCATGTAGCATGTTTTAAGTCAGTTTTTAGGATTTATTTTGAAATTAAGTTCCAGAATGAAACTCCAAGCCCAATATGTCATGCTCAGCCCTGATTCCTTTATCTAAACATTGGTAATTATTGTCTTCATGAAAAAGTGAATGGGCTGCTGCCAGAAGCAAGGAATACAGTGGAGCACTACTGACCTATCTTTTGGTACTATAAGTGTTGGCTTACTGTTAAAGGCCACAGATTTTCCTTAAAAAGCAAACTTAAGTCATTCTTTCCCTGGAGCTCCCTTAGGATAATTTTGTTTCCTTTGTGTAATTTTTAAATAACTGATAGTATTGATAAAAAGTTTTTACCACTTTGATTTCATCACCACAACCTTGGAGGGGGACGAATGAGCAAACTTTCAGTACTGAGCCAGGTGCACTAAACAAGTTAGTTAGTTAATGCAATCGAGAGATGAGCCCGTCCACCCAAAAGAGTGTATATGCCCACCATAAAAATTATTAAGAATGAAAAATTAAAACTCACTAAATGCCAGTATAAATGCTACAGTTACCAACTATCAGGCAAACGAGTTTTATTTTCACCTTGGAGCTTGCATACTTATAAAAAGATGTTTTTTAAAAAGTTTAAGGTTATACAAAGTTTATAAATAATTCTGCAAACATTTGAACTACATAGCTGTAAATTACATAATTTCTGCATAATTCATGGGTTTCGCCATGGTGGCATAAATGTTGGGTTTCATTATTTTAGTGTTCCATTCCAACATTTATACATTTTTAAACTTGATCAGGGGAGCTGCATTCCAACTAGCGATGGAAAATTTACTATAAACTTACTACAGCAGAACCACTATTCCAGTAGTTTCCAAACTTTCGCATGCATCAGGATCACATGGAGGGCTTGTTAAAACATACATTGCTGGTCCCCAAACCTAGTATTCGATTTAGTAGGTCTGGGGTGAGACCCAAGAATATGCATTTCTTACAAGTTCACAAGTGATACTGTTGATCCAGGGACCAAACTTTGAAAACCGCTGTACTACACTAATGAGGTGATATACCACCACTTTGCTATTTCAAAAGTTCAAGGACTTTTGTCTAAAGATTAAGGCTTTGGGGTCAGCCTGGTAGCATAGTGGTTAAGTTCGCACACTCCACTTCGGTGGCCCAGGGTTTGCGGTTTGGATCCCAGGTGCAGACCTACACAGCGCTCATCTAGCCATATTGTGGCAGCATCCCACATATAAAATAGAGGAAGATGGGCAACAGACATTAGCTCAGGGCCAATCTTCCTCAACAAAATAGATAAATAAAATAAAGATTAAGGCCTTGAACTTGTAACTAAATCAGCAGTACCCCATCTCAGACATCAGTTTTTCATGGTGCAGCTGGTAATCCCACTTGGTGGTGGTTTGTACCATCTTTTGGTTATACAGCAACAACAAAAGCTATAAACTAATAATTATTTGGATTTGAATACTGCATCCTAATATCCTATTTGCATAAAAATGTATTTTTAAAAGGCTTCTATGGCCTAGATGTTATTTTCTCCTTAAAATATCATGAAAAATAGTGTTGCACCTGCTATGAAAAGACTGAATAGCATCCAGGAGCCTTAAAGGCACAGAAAAGGAAGTATTGAGTATTAAAAAGAAGAGAGCCTGAAAGTTCTCCCTCCCAGGGACAAGCAGCATAAACTATACTTGGCCAAATGCACTGTGTCTTCTGGGAGCGTGCATTTCTAACAAGCATCTAGGTGATGCTGATTTGGTGGTCCTCAAGACTGCATTTTGTGTAGCAAAGCCCTAGAAAGTCATTTTTTTAGGTTTCCATATAAGTTTCAATTCATTTTTAACACATAAACAGACACAATATTTGAACCCATAAACATTTCATTAAGGTAAAAAATACAGTAAATTTTTAACCATGCCCGGGCAAATTCATACAATTAAAGTAAAAGCCAGCTCAGGGGACAATCCAGCAGTATCCTTGGCAAATATCTTCTGAGGAACAGCGTTTGTACATGACTGTAACCACCCAAAATTCAGACCTCCCATATCTTTGGCTATTTTTATCACTTCAAACTTTATTCCTAAAACTGAGATAGAAAGCTTTCCGTAGTGTAATCATAGTTGACGCTGAAAATGTTTCTTTAGAAACAGATCAGGAAACTAGACCCAGGTACTTTTATAAGAAACTATAATAACAAACCTTTATACTGTTTATATCAGTTTTAATGGGAATAAAAGAGGGAGTAAAAACAGCATAATTATTAGTGGTTTACATACCCGCCAAGGATGGCAGAAGTGATTGTAACTTGCATAAATAATATACTCAAGAACATTTCACACTCCTTCTTGGTGGTTAGAGCAATGCAGTTTATAAAACAAAAAAGTAACTATTCTCATTAGAGGAGGCATCAAAAATTAGTTTTGAGAAAGAAGATGAAAGAAGCATTCTCCAACTCCTGGATGCCAGGAAGCAGAGTTTTTCAGAATCAAAAACAAAGAGAGCCCTAATTAAGAGCAAGGCCCCACCCCTCAGGGGTCACATAGTTGGTTCTGTTTCTTTTAACTAATTCATCATTTTAACACATCAAACAATTTAGCCTTTTCTTTACCCAAAATTAAAACTACAGAGACATCATAACACTCTTCAGAAATGCAAACACCTGAGATAGATCATTACCAGAATCTACACAAGGATTTGCTATTTAGGTGCAGTTAGTATAATTCATATTTAAAGTCATTTCATAAAAATAACAACTGTCCCAATCTTCCAAGTTCCGTTTTCTCCTACGATGATCACCAAAGTAATCTCTACTGTTAAGATTCTTCTTCACTGCTTGAATGTAGAAACTGCTTAGTAAAATTCTCCAGCTCATTTTCAAGTTGAACAGCTTTATTTCTAATTTAAAAAAATGAATAAAACACCAATCTAATTATCATAAAGGTCAATGAGAAAAAAAATGCATTAGAGAGAAAAAGAATCACTAGCCAGCTGCTGCTACATTTATCTGAACTCAGATTAAACTGTTCTCAACCCTTTCAGAGTATTATATGTCAAACTATAGCTTTGCAGTGACCGCAGAATCCAGTGTCCAGGACTTAAACGGGAGTCATATCCTAAGTTATGTACAGTCATAACTGTCCTTGAATTCCCGTTAAGTTAAGCATAAAGTACAGAATAAGCAGTTTTATGTATACATAAAGTAGCTGGCAGATGTCAAAGGATCCTGGTATACCAAAAATACATTTTTTAAATACTAGAATTGTACTTGATGCAGCCTAATGCCCATAAGAGAGGAAAACCAGAACTAAAACTGACAGAAGAACACAGATTTGTGTCTCCGTTCTCATGCTATTCCCGGGGGCACACATACACTTGAATGAGATTCCCTTGTTTTTCTCTTGGCCTTGTTTTTTGTTGCTGAGTGCACATGGTCAAGGTCATGTAAGTTACATGTACATATGAACTCCACTGTTCCACTGTTCATTTCTTTAGGCCACTCTCCTGATGCATTAGGTAAGTTAAATTCTACTTGAATGGCTGAGCCTAGTCTCGTAACAATGGAGACTCCAAATACTATGGTATTTGTTATTGTAAATTTTCCTGTTTCTAAAGATTAGATCATCAAAAATATCTATACTTATTCAAGTCAGTCCTGTCAAAATCAGAAAGCTACATAAATATCAATAATCTATTTCATCATTTATGTTTTACTGTAACAAGATGAAACACTATTTAAAAACCTAAGTAATAAAAAAAAATTCTACCGGATACAGTTTCACCAAATTTGAAAGGTTGTATTTGGAATAATCTAATTTAAAATAGGAGCAGTGGAATACATGAAATTCACTTGGGTGAGTTTGTGTGTGTGAGGTTGGGGTCTAAGTGATAAGCAGTCGTCTTTTCCAGATTCTGAAACTGAGGTGCAATGAGAATGTGACTGCTGATCAGATTAAGACACCATGGATAGACACTGCCACAGGTGTTTTAAATATCTGACCCAAAAATCAGGTCACAAGAACAGCCTCTCTAATTTGCAGGCATTGCAAGCTGCTCTTATATGGGCAATTGCATGTAGCATATGCCCTGGTAAGTAGCAGCAGAGATTAAATAATGCTTAAGGATTTTCCCAGACTTGTAAGTGAGGAAGATAATGGGTAATAAAGCTGAAAGTTAAGAACTGCCAAGTATAGACCTCATGATGACACTCATTTGGTCTTGTCCCCCAAAGCAAAATTTATTTAGACCCCAAAGAATCCATGATAAATCATATTAAACCAGAATTCCACATTATATTAGGACATCTTGTTTACTTTTGTAGCTTCAAATTTAACCATACTCAATAGTCTCCAATGAGAATAGAAATTATGGGTCTTGGATATACAGAACGAAAAACTCGTACTTTTAATTACAGAACAACTGCTCTGAAAAAGGCCTAATATAGCTTAACAGAGAGTTGTAAGTTTAGATTAAAAAAATTCCTTTTAATTCAGATTTGTTTTTTCTTTTTGAAATTAGCTTTCATTGAAATTGCAAAATATATCGAATTATATATGGTAAATTATAATCTAAGCCAAGCAGAAAGCTAAAAGTTTTAATACAAATTCACTAGTGGTTTTACATAATTATATTTTGGTAATGAGACAAACAAATGTTCATATTATTGAGAAAAAACATTCAAATACCTCAGGAGCTTTGCATTGTGTTGTATTTTCTCCAACTGATCTATTTCTTTGGATAATCTAGCAATTTCTTCTTCCAGATGTCTTTGTGTAACATCAACTTGTTGGCACAGGCGAGCAAAAGTGGTCGCCATTTCCCTTAAAATAAAAACCAATTTTATCAGCAGTCATGAATGCCTTTTAAAACAAATAAGCATTAATTTAAAGCTTACATGAAAAGGAGATCACACGTTTAAAAAACACCTAAAACACAAGTAGCAAAGAACACTGCTAAGAATGGTATGAGGGAGGGTATGGCACTTGTAAGCTTA